TCATACATTTTTGTGTTTCTTAAACATAGAACAAGAATACTATGGTTTAGAATAGCAAGAGAGGGAAAAGTTTAAACATTTGAAATTTTACCTTGGCAAGATTTCCTAATGAAGCCAACGGCAAAAAATAACCAGGATATAATGGGGTACTGAGATCAAATATGCTGCAAAAGAGGAATATAATTCCATCACAAAGTATTGGGTCTTAAAAAAACGCGTGGTTTCATTTTATAATACAGGCGACAAACCTTCCGGCGCTGCCGATGAAGTCTGCATACAGGCGCCATTGTTTAGGATCATCATCGAAAAGATTACCGAACCTTCCACCTGAAATTTGAAAAAAAAAAAAAAAAAAGTTATATATCTTCTCATTCGTATTATTTGCTTTTTCTTGCATTTTTATGAATGCCAGACCTATGAATAAGCGCCCAAGAGCACCAATGCCGTCCTTTGACACCCATCTGCTCCAGCGTGCAACACACACCAAAAAATAAAAATAAAAATCGCACTTTAGACAGCCTACTAAAATCTTTTAACATGATGAAAAATTGACAGGATTTTTCTACTATAAAACAGAACAGATATTTCCACATAATAATAAATTGTATTCTGAATAACGACGAAATGAATGAGAACACAAACCGTTACCTAATTGCAGCAGCTGAAGCTGCTGCTGTAGTTCCTGAAAAAGAGCCTACTCCAACAGCCTATAATTAGACTGCATAATGTCAGTAGTCAACCTTTGAGTACTAAGAATTCTCTTCTCACAAAGAAAACAGAACAGCAAAGCCGGTCAAATGAGTTAACTGGTTTATCAAGAAGATGTATCATAGAACCAATTCGAAAATTCTTTAAGATTCAGTTAGAATTCATCACTTCTTGAACAGTAAAACCTTTGAGTACTAAGATTTCTCTTCTCATAAAACAGAACACTAAAGCCGGCGAAGTGAGTTAACTGATTTGTCGAGAAGAATGTATCATAGAACCAATTCGAAAATTATTTAAAATTCATTAGAATTCATCAATTCTTGAAGGTAGGAATCTACCAAAGAAATAACAAATCCGTTTTCAGAACAATATGATATATCAGCAAAAAAAAATAAAAAATTAACATCACGAGTTACATAACGTGCCTTTAAAAGACTGGACGTGACTAACGTGTGACATATCCACCCTGTAACATTAGTTGGGAACTGAAGTAACATGTACTCCAAGTAATCATCCGAAACTGAATCTGCATAGAAAATCCAGAAATTAACTCAAAAACAAGCATCATTTTCAAGCTCAACTGATATTATCACCTAAATTGTCAAACATATAAGTTCAATAAGCAAGACGAATAGAAACCCGCCTGGGAATCCAGCAGGCAATATGAAATCTTTGATGACTTTAGGAAGCCAATATAAACTAATGGCACTCTCCAAAGTGCCCGAATCTTGAACCACGACTTTTTCAGGCGTTCGTTCTTCGAGAACTGTTCTAACATGAGAATCACTTTCCACAATATATCTGAATCAAAATGCAATAACATAAGGACAATTGTGGCGCGTGTATACTTATAAGAGGGAAAAATAGCCCAAAAACACACACAAACACACTAGTGGAAGCTAATGCAATCTGAATTAATCAAAACTTCGACGCAAAGGTTAACTAATTACCTTTTGGAGCTGCCGTTTCCGTATTTTTCCAGCAGAACCAGATGATCTTCATTTTCCTTCCTTCAATTAATCAGCAAATCATATCATCAGAAACGGAAATACACACACAAACACGCACTGTGCCTAGAGGAGTGAAAAAGTAGCTGCTAATGATTCGAATGCTTACTTAAGAGACTGGCAGTCGTCTTCTCCGGCGGAATGCGGTGGCGAGGAGTGGCAGAGTACCGGAAATCGGACAACCCTAGCCAGGACTGAGTTTTGCCGCGAGTCAATGGCGAAGCCATGGCAGGTAAATCTCAAAGCTGTAGTCATTTTTTTTTTTTTTTCGCTTTCAATTTCCTTGTTTGGTTCAGTGCGTGAATGTGAATTAGGCACGGGAGCATACACTAGCGTATTATTATTTATTAATTTATTATAGTTTTTGCACGTCATCTGATTTGGGCTTCACAGGAGATTTTTTCAATCACATAATTATATTATGTTTCTAAAATATTTTTTAATTTGAACTTTTGAATATGCAAATTTAGTTACATCGCAACATTGAACTATTTAATGTTTAATTTAGTTGGGATAATTTCATCATATCTGGTGGGTTTTTTTACCAGAAATATGCACACACACACACACAGTCGAATTTGCTGATCATGCATACTTATATACATTCACTGATGTCAAGCATAAATATAAGAATATTGAATATGAACCTCTTAATTAATATCTATATCCATTGGATTCGACTCAAAATGAATGGATGTAATTTCTTCCTATGAGTAGACATAATGGTATTTTATAAACTAGGCACAAGCATAATTGCAAAAATGCCTAGATATTCTCAACGCAAAATCATCATTCATAATCTGCCTCCAATGTGCATTGCGCCGTAATCTGATAATTAAAAATGTTATTACCTTGCTTTGGAGAGAAAAGAAGACCCAAATTGATACATGATTTTGCCATGGGAGCACTAACTACCAACGAATACAATATCCGCCGCCATACGGAACCATGACCCATTACTCAATATTTTGACAACCGAGTTAATAATCTTATAGATCATACATTTTTAACGGAATGTAGAAAGACAGATAAACCTAAACGGCTACAGAAAGCCACCTACTCGTTTTCTGCATCTTCAATTTCTTCATCCTCTGGAACCCCACGCAGATAAAGAACATTGTTACATCTGTTAACCAAACATACCACCAAACATACCAGATGATATTGTCAGCAGTCTAATTGAGATAAGCCTCGTCTAACTTCATAAACAACAAAAGTTAAGTTAAATTATTTCCATTGAGATTTTAACACGGTGGGTAAAACGGACTAATATCTCTGCAAACAAAAAATTAATTTAAAAGTCCAATGATAATAACTTGGTACCGAACATTTATATCAATTTTGTCAGAATTTTTTTATGAAAACTGATGAATCAACAAATGATTTTACCTGATTAATATCTCCCCAAGACTTCCTGTGCACTGCCCATCGATATATTCCTCGGCATTTGCAAGCTGCCACAATAAAATGTAAGTCAACAACTAAGACATGTAAAAGAACCCAACAGAACTAATTCTATTTAGTACAAATTTCATACATTAGCTCATATTTTTAGGAGTCTTCTCCAGAAATATTCACTGCTCGGATTTTAACAACGGCATTCACGTAATTGTAAGCAGACCAATTTTGTTTGCAAGTCAGCTACTGAAATGCCATGAACAATATTTAGGACAGGTTTTAGTACCCACTATTGCTTTTGATTTTACACTTGCTTCTTCCATTTTAATGTTTATGGTGTCCAGCTTACTGGCATTTAATTTGGGTTTACCTTATTGTTGCAAGTAAAAATACATCGAAAAGTACTACAGCTCCATGCATTTAAATTTAAGGAATTACACAAATAAACAAATAGTTGCAATAGATTCAAGTAATTCTATCCAGAGATTGAGAAATTAGTTTACCTCTAGCATAAATTATGTCAAAAACTAAAGAACTAAGAGCACCAAAACATACAGGGTAAAATACATTCTTGGCCACACAATAACTAAAAACCATGAGTAAGCTAAACAATCTCCCAAACCTAAGAGTCGGCGTCTTTAAGGATGTCCAAAGCTCAAAAAATATGTTTAGTTTCACAACACAATGTCCAAATAGATCTATGGATGTTTGGCATATCATTTAAAGGTGAAAAAGATGCACAAAAACTAAAATATCATTTGTTATTATACCTGCAAGTTCATGTAAGAGTCCACGGATACGAGAAAACCTGAAGAGAGAATCCCATAAGGAGATAGTAAGAAACTAAATGGATAATCAAATGCAGACTGTAGACAAATAACAAACATTCGGAACTTCAAAGGATCACAGAGACAAAATACCTTTATACTCCATTCCCCATTTGAGTTTCACCATTACTGGCTTCCCAGTCAAATTGTTCAGAAAAGGCTTCGGGTTTACTGGAACAGACTATCAAACAGTACAAATATAACTATCAGAATACATGAGATTTACCAATGTCAGCAATTTTTCATTATACCCAATGATCTGAATTCATTATGCTCATAAGGTCCTACCATCCCTCTTGTTTAAAAAAGCGGATCAACAAAAACATAAAACAAGGTTTTCAAGTTTAAACAGTGAATATGACTTCATTTTATTCTTTTTTTTNGAGCCACCCTTTATCACACAACTTCGGAATGTAGAAAAATCAACAAAAATGCTAGCACAGTACAAACACATACATGAATCTTAAAGCAATCTCAGCACGACATTAACGAATATCAAAGGTTGAGAAAATTCACGGACCATTTTTGCTGGTGGTCGATGGAGTACACGGTGGATCCCTTTTCTCGCTGGCCGTTGTGAGGAGAAATAAAAACCCTAATCGTGTTATGTGGCTGAAGGTTCACAATCAAGGGCACTGTTGGGAATACTGAAATTTTATTTGGGCTGAAAATAAAATATTAATCGCAAGGCCCCTAACAAATATTTCAGCTTTTGGGCCCAAAGCCCCAAAAGTCACGGATTAGTTTCATATAGTTTCTGTCAACTATTTCTTGTTGTGTTTGTGTTTTAGATGATTTTGTGTTATTTATTTTTATTTATTTATAAATATAATGTTAAAATTAAATTTAACTAAACTTTTGTTTTGTGCTTACCTTGTCGTGTTTGTAATTTACAATTGTGATTTAGTGTTATCTATATTTATTTAATTATAAATATGGGAATAAATCTAGATTTAACTAAACATTTTTCTTTCATGTTTCTTGTGTTTTGAATCATGTCTTGTTGTGCCTATGGTGTAATCTGATTTATTATATTTGGACTTCACATGAGATTTTTTCAATCAAATATTATATTATGTTGCTAAAATATTTTTTAAATTTCAAGTTTAATATACAAAAATACATCGCAATATTGTTCGGTTTTATGTTCAATTTAGTTGGGATGATTTCATCATATCTTGTGGGTCTTTTACCACAAATATGCACAAACACATAGTCGAATTTGCCGATCATGCATACTTATATACATCCATTGATGTCAAGCATGAATATAAGAATATTGCATATGAACCTCTTTAATTAATATATATATATCCATTGGATGTAATTTCTTCATATGAGTAGACATAATGGTATTTCTTTTAACTCCACTTCCTACATATAAATTTGGAAGCCTCTTTAACTGCAACAACATGCAAAGATTGCTACCTTCATTAAAGGTATAGTTGAAAAATACGTCTCTTAATATACAAAACAGATTCCAAATTCATTAATATACTTCCTATTGCAAAAATACTGGAAGAACTAAAAGAAACTAGCCGAAACTCATATCAAAAGGTGTCTGCTGATAAATGCTACGAGTAAAGAATGCTGAAGTGAAACCAAATCAAGTTAAGCTGCCACTAACACTTGTGCTCTTGCTGCTTCCGATTTTCCTCTTCAATGCTTCGAAGTTCTTTTTGGGCTGCTAAGATAAGTCGCTTTACGGAGTCGAATGTCGTAAGCCTTATGCTGAAAAAGAAATGCACGAAAATTCATTCACACACTAACTCTTATGTATCGCGTAAATTATCATATTTACAAAGTTGACGCCTCCAGTTATAAAGATCAGTCTGGGGCAAAATATAAACTGTAAGGATATTTTGCACAATGAATCAGTCTGAAAAAGATTTGAACCATAACATGAAAAAGAGAGAAAGCTACGAAAGCTAAACAAAAGAATTTATGGTAGGTACAAAAGAGGGAGAGAGAGTTAAACCAAACCTGCTGTTCGGTAGAGTCTTTAATGCATTGGGCACAAAACCCCTGTATAGTCCTCCTAAACCATCACGAGCCACAATACCTGATTCAAAATGGTGAAACTAAGCAGTGTTAAGCATCAAGAAGGATACATAATTAGATCAAGAAATTCTAAGGGCTTGCTTGTTTACAAATATATTAGTATTTAATTGATTTTTTTTTGTTAACCACGGTCAATTTTGAAAAAGTTGATATGGTTAGTTTTAGTGGGATTTTAAATTTGTATTAAACTAATATTTAAAATGAAATGTTTAAAATTGATTTGATGTAAAAGTAGGAGATAGATGATTGGAAGTGATAGGTAGTTAAAATTATGTGAGTTGATGAATAGTGAATTAAAGTTGATGTGATGTGTAAAATTGATTGATTGATGTTATTTAATTATATTGATAATATTAAGGATAATTGGGTTGAGTTAAATTTTGAGTTGAGATTATTTTTTTTTTCTTTTGGCGTAAAAATGTAAACAAACACACTCTAAGATCTTGTTTCTACATCCACCAAATAAAAACATCATGTTTCCAGTTTCATAGTATATAAAGGACCCTGAGTAAACGAGCCCGTTTTGGCTGAGCTAAGTAGCTAAATGAGCAGAGCAGGTTGGGTCCATGGCTTTAAAAATACAAATGCAGTTGTGTTGTTTAAGTACAACCTTAAGAGAGGGAGAAAAGGTTGAAATATCATAAAGCTATGCAAGACTCGTTTTCCCCAACATTAATCATTCAGTTGCTCCAAATAAAACTTTATACCAACGAAGACATTCACATTGATATAATGAGCATTAGAGCTTCCATCTCTTGTCTAAACTTGAATCACATGTTTCAAGTTTATCCTTCACGATAAGTGCTTGTGAATGCTCATTGAAACAGGAATGGTATATGAGTAAACAGTTTAAACCTGATATTGATATATAATGTTACCTGGAATGGCATCCAAAACAGTCATATAAGGACTGCCCTTCATTTGCATTTGCCTCCTGACCGTATCCAGAGGATAGCACATGAGTGTGGCTACAGTGGCCGATACAAGAGCTGTTACCAATGATGCTTCAGTTCTCTTTTGATATTTTTCTGGAAGAGCCTTTTTCACCCTGACATTCAGATAAAGTCAGGTTTTTTCAGTGAACAAAACTTATTTTGCCTGTAACCACAACAGATTTATAAACTACCAATTTAGTAAGCTCACAAGTCAAAAACGCAAAAATTCACTGCAATATAAGGTGCGATTCCAATAAGAGAAGGTCCTAGACCATTATAAAATGACATGAACCCTTCCTCTCTCAGCATGTTCAAAGCAACCTAGAAAAAAAGATAGGAAATGAATGCATATATCATCATATAGACAGACCACTTTCTCAGTAAATTAACATGGGTATCAGGCAAATTGGTAAAAATTGCCTTTTACCTCTGTCATTGTTTTGTATCCAGGCTCAACAGCTAATCTCAACCTAAGAACATCTAGCGGGTAAGTAACCTGTGTAAATACAGATAATTGTGATATAAAAAAGTTATAATCCATCAGACTAAGTAGTTTCAACAAGTCAATTATCAATATCCAATCCACAAGGACCAAAAATTGAAGCAAAAAAATGTAGGGCCATAATATAAATTTGATGATGCATCAAGTTAATACATTTATTTCTATTTCAACTTACGAAAGTTGAAGTCATGCCAGCACAAGCACCTGCAGCTAATCTTCCAATTACAGAGAGTTCCCCATCTTGTCCTTGAAAAAGTTTCTGAAAATGAAACAACGGTAACCATTAAATTTCCTCCAAGATGTGATATTATGTTTTCCGGAAGGATTTGGTTTCACAATCACCTTGTATGCTTCATAAGCGAACAACTGCACGGCACTATAAGGTATGATTCGTATCACCTACACCATTTGAAGGAGAATTCAAGTTCTTAAAATATATAACCTGTTGAAAATCTATTGCCTCGTCTGAAATGCTTAGATAGACAACAGAGCAACAAACCTGTGGAAGGTTCCCTTTCCAGTACCCTTTTAATCCTTCTTCCTTCCCAATCAATGTGAAGGCCTAATTCAAAATCGAAAAGGTTAAAGCAAAATTAAATTTGTAGAGAATGTAACATGTTTATGGGGTGACCCAGCCTTCAAATCTGATCAAATTAACAGCTAATAGAATCACCATGATCAGCAAATGCAAGTACCTCTATAAATCCAATCCCCTTCTTTGCACCTTCTTGTCCTGCTCGAAGTCCATGAGTCTGCATAAAGTGAGAGGGAGAAAAGGGGATTAAGCAAAATAATTAGAATTACTCTTTGACATAAAGTGAGAATATAATAAGTGATTGGCATTTCATTTGCTTATTTGATCTTGAATTTAGAACTTGAAGTCACAAACAAGAACCTAATAGTTTCCTTTCTTTTTCGTTTTCCAGCGGGACTGATTGTCGCATGTATAAGTGCAAAAGCATTGTAGGCAAGTTTTCTAGATCGATGACAAACATCAAATCAATATTTTATACAAGACACTAAACAATCAAACAAAATGAAATAAAGCAAACCATTGAATGTACCGGCTACATCACTTTCTAACCCAGCATTGGCATGAAATGAAAGAACAATACACCAGCCTAAATCCTTAAATCAGGATAAGTCGTATTTTACTCCGAGACATCAGAATTCCACGGTTACCAGCATAACAAAAGCATTGGCATGAAAACGAAGAACAATAAGCCTAAATCTGTAAATCAGGTTTAGCTCATCTCTAATTGGAACATCAGAACATCTCAACTACGCTACATTCGTGTATAAACAACAAAATATTCACTGATACATTTTACATGTCATATGCCCAAAGTTCTGAAACAAACAACAAAACAGATAAGGAAAAAAAAACCGCAAAATCAAGGGTACTGGTTGTGAACAGTTGAAAGCATTTACAAAAAAGTAACACAAAATAAAACGAAGCTTCAACAATTGTGGTTCTGAACCTGCAGAAGCAGCTTAATGCGGTCCAGCGGCGCGGTGACGGTTTTGGCGGCGGCGCCGGCAATCGCGCCGGCGGCGAAAAGAGCAGCGTCTTTGGGAACCAATGCGAGCGCAGCCAACGGATGCTTGAGAAGCTGGCCGAACGCAGGCGCGAAATCCTTTCCTTCCTTGTTCTTCTCCGCGTGGGAAATACACGCGAAATTCGACCTTCTCCGATTGCCGCCAGCATCGGACCACAATAAGGGTTCGCACGGGCCGAGTTCGGCAAAATTTTTCGGGTCGAGGCCCGGAATCTCGCGCCATACTAGTGTAGCGCGAGCTTGAGTGCTCATTTCTCCAGATAAGGTGAGGACTGTGAAGGGAGTTAGTTGCAGGTGGGGAGGAGAAATAGAGAGGGAATGTGAATGGGATTTGGGAGTGCTGTTTTTTTTTTATATATATTAAATGGTTAGTGGGGTTGGGGAGT